GTAACATTTTAAAGATACTTTTCTAAAACAATTATCCCCCAATATTAAGAAATCAGCGTTGTGCTTTGACACCTATCCCATTTATTAGTTTCAATCGAAACCAGGCAAAGTCAGTGGGTTTGAGGCAAAACCAGATGTAGAGCTCATGTGACTTCAAACAAAAAGCATTTTTCACACAGCCTCTTATGAACTGAACAGAAACAAGAGAGTCTGGCACAACTCAATGTTCTACAAGCCATGCACAAAGGGCCTGGTTCTGAGAGGTGCTGAAGGTCTCTGGGTACTGAGCACTGCAGGATCAGGCCCAACTTGCTAATGACTTTTCATAGGGTAGCAGGGATTAACCACAATGTGACTTCTGCAGTCATTTGCAGCCTGAATGAAACAGGAAAAACTCCTTTTGACTTTGCAAGGAAAGGGTTTGTGCCTTTTCCTTTTTGCTGAGAACAGCCCCTTTTCTTTTTCCTGGACAAAAAAAATGTTTTTTTTCTCACTAGGCTTTACTTGGAAATGCTAAGGATGTGTCACCCCCTCCAGAGAATGACAGGCCAACAACCAGACCTTCTTTAACAGAGGACTAAGTTGTTGTTATACAGCCAATAAAAAACTATTGAGGTGGAATCAACCACAAAACCATGGGTCCTCTGTCTGTCCAGCTCCCTTCCCAGGCACTAGAAACCTCAAATTCCCGACCATGGTGACAGACTGGAGTAGCAGCCAAAAGAGCACACAGACACGGCTGCTGCCCCCTATACCTGCCAGGCAAGTTCCTCTCCTAGGAAAGCACACAGAGCAATGGAATAAAGTATCTTCTCCTCTCTATTATGCTTCCCAGCCTATAAATACAACCTCATCCATGGCCACAACTCTCTTTGACAGGACTGCTTTAACATATCCAAAATGATCAACGACTCTGTTATTACTGCAGCTACTACTATTAACTGTTTCAAGTTTGGACACTAAAAATTCCATGTGCTGTGCCTTGAAGTTATGATTATTATTTTTTCTTAGAACACCCATAATCAAATTGTACGATTAGCATGACAGAAACACCATGAACAGTAATTAACTGGACAGACTCTGAATGCTGGGCACCAGTATGAAATGAAAAGTGAAGTTTCAGGCTCTTGCCTGTCCTTCAGAACATAAAATCAGAGAGTTTGAAGAATAAAAAGTGAATTTTGACTGATTCAGCTGCTTACCTTAGAAAACAGTATATGCAGATGGAATGTGAAACTCCTCACTCAAGACTAGGGCTTGCATAGCCTTTTTAAGTAAGGTAAGAAATCCTTTAATCTCCTAGTTTTTCCCAGAGCTGTCAACACCGATACCTGTAGTCAGTGGCAAGTCTGCTAACTTCAATGAAAAGTTTAAAACATTAACAAGGGTAGATATTTCTAAGCAGGAAAACAAGTATAGAGACTCCAAACTCCCAGACTTTGCCTATTGCTCCTCCAGCAGGGTCAGATCATTTTCACCACGTAGCTACAGATGAGAAGTTATAAATTACAATTACAGTTATTACAATCACAAAAATATTTTAAGTTTTGAGGTCTTTGCAAGTACAATGAGATTCTGCTGAGTGTACCAAAAGGAAAACAGCATCTAGGACCTACTGCAGTACTAATCTCTAAAGTCTTTTGCTTTTTTATTTTCCCCAAACAATCATCAGACCTTCACCCTCTGTGTGATCCAGCCACCAAAGGTGGTAGAGAAAGCTGAATTACCAGAGGAAGTGAGTCTATATGTGCCAGCGTAGCAAGGAAACAGTATTCTCTGTATTGACCTTTGGAAGGGTAACTGCTAGTCCGCATGCCAAAAAAGCTTCATAGTACTACAAAGTATCCTCTCCACTATCACTGCACTGGGGCGAGTTGCTGTTCGACTTCAGCAATAGCTGTAGGAGTAGTCAAGGCAATAAAAGCTAGAAACATTTCAGCAGAGAGGCTGTAGTCTTTATCTGCAATCCTCAAACCAACTGAGCATTTGGATTTGCTTCCAGTCACAAATAAGTAAGGGCTGAGACTTCTAGCCTAGATGATGGAAAAGACCTAGTAGTACTAGTTAAATGAGGGAAGGGGAAATAAGAAGAAGAAGAAGAAAAAGATCAAAGCCAGAAATAACATTCTTTTGGGCCTGGTCTACTCATTTACGGGTGCACACACACAAACCCAAATCCAATGTATGACCCCACTACTAATCTCTGCCAGCATCTCCCCCCCCAGGCTGACCCTTTCACACAATACATCAGCTTTATTTGGCCACGACTTTGAGGAATTTCAGTTGCAGACTTGACATTGCAGAGAGCAAAGTGTAAAGGTTTTGAATGGTGCAGGGAGTTCAGAAGAAACCTAGAGCCTCCCCCTTCCCTTCATAAGCATCAATTTAATTGTAAGGAACCTGGTCGTTATGCAAATTAATTCAGTCCTGTGATTGTTTATTGCAGCAATGAAGATTCTCACACACTATCTACATGAGACCTGAAAATAGCAACGAGCATCTGCTCTGTGCAGTCTACCCCATTGGTTTTCTTTTTACTATTTGTTTCAAAAAGAGTCTTTCAATCAGTTTATGCTTCCTGGCACCAGAATTTATAAAGGAGTAAAGCAACATCATGTGAACCAGCCCCCTGGCTAAGTGAAATAACATTTCTGGTAACACTTACCTACAGACTTGCTAGACAAGTCATCTTCCTGGATTTGGGGGACAAATTAACTAGTCTCGTAATATATTTACTTCACATTAACTACTCTGTGATCTGCACTGTACATCTATACACAAAAACCTCTATTGTGCATTTATGTTTTGTATATTTAAGAAATATAACTTAATTATAAACTTCTGTTCATTCCAATTAGTTATTTTAATGCAAAACTCGGTCCTGATATTTAATAAAGCTCATTCTTCCACTACTATATTAGTTTGTCACGTCTATTTTGAAGCCTTGCAACATCATTCCTACTTAATTTTTAAGAAGGCAAATACCTTCCTCAGCAGGAAGAGAGTATATTCATTTTCCAAGGGTGAAAAGCCACACAACCTCAGTTTTGCTGGGACAGATAAAGTAGGTAAGTTTAATATCTTAAGCTATTTTGGCCAGTAAACTGTTAGTATTACAAGAAGTTTGTCCATAACCCAACAAAGAAAAAAGTTTCAAATAAATAACAAATTAATTTTTTTTTTACCTTCTCTTTTGGTTTTTGTGATTTTAAAGGTTTTGGAGTGTGCATTTTCAACTTTATATACTTAAGACTGTAAAACAAGCTAGAGAAAAGCCTTAATCTCATTATTCCTTCTATCTTCATCATTCCTTCCTAACTCAGCCAACATCTGGGAGACAAACGTTGAAAATTTGAAAGATTTAAAACCCACTGTAACTTGAATCCAAGTTTAGCTATAAAACCTTGTTTACTTTCATTTTTAGAGAATTCTGAGAAGGGGACATGCTTCAAAAGTATCTGTATGTATGTCAAAATAACACTGACACAGGAATTTAGGCAATCCAAAGATGAGCACTAACAGAAAAATCCCAAAACCCTAGAAACATGAGGACATAAAACTTAGTCTGTACCCTCTGTATAATTCAACTGAACATTGCCTGGAGTTACCATCAATCGCTGAGTTTTGAATATTTTGAATAGCGAATAAACACAGTGGGCAAGTAAGGCTAGTACTGGAGGAAATACTTTGTTTCTTTAACTATATGAAATATGAGTTCTAGTTATCCCAAAGAACCATAAGATATTTTTATTAAAATGATGAACTCATAGCAATAAGAGATGCCACCTGAGAAACTCTTGTTTATTCTGAAATGTAAGCTAGGAAGTGGGTAGAGTAGATATATTTTGATTTAACGTGTTAAGTGTTCAGATTATTGCAAATTTTAACAGAAGTTAAAATGACAATTTTAACCAGAGAGTGTATGCCTTTGCATGTCCTGTACAGATTTAATTTGGTTTGGGGGATTTTATTTTAAACAAAACAATATTATTTACTGAAGCAACAATTGCCACCCATGAAGGCTGAGGTAAATGATGTACCAAGACAAAGAAGTCCAGAGGCAACGACAACAGCATATGCTAACATTCAAGAAAACGATGTCAATCTAGAGTTCTCCCTTCAAGGATAGTCTTAATTTATGGTCATTTCAAAGCATGGCTATTGCTGTCCTGAACATAAAACAGAGCTTTAAACATACAGCCTCAGAGTACGGCTCTATCTTAATAATAAAATTAATGAGATTAGAATGGGGCCTCAAGAAATTTTAGTAACCCAGAATTTTGTAACACACATTAAACTGAGAGATGGCTTAGTATTAAAAAGTAACGTTCCATTTCTATGACTCTCTTAACACATTGCACCCTGCAAGGAACGAATATGCAACTACACATGCACTTATTAAATATTTATAGTAAAAAATATGGGACATCACAGCAGCAGACCACATTTTGTGAAGATATAGTTCTATTACTCTAACTAGAAATCAGAATCAAGGATACAAGAGAGTTAAACTCTCCTGCTATTACAGTTGAATAACTAACACTTACATAGTCCTTTCAAAAGTAACAAGATACAGAAGCCAAAGTATTAGTTAACTCAAACAAGGATGAAGATGCAACTCTCAAATGCTTAAGAGAAAAAACACCCTGGAAAAAAACAAGAAATATTTAAAATCATCCCCTTTCTTTCACCTCTGCCTCCTCATTAGTATGAGTTTGAGGCTCTTTCCTCCAGCAGCAGGAGCCAAGCTCCCAAGCAAGTGGCACACTTTGTTCTATGTTCTTTCAGGATATGGAATTCCTTTCCTTCTATCCTCTAAATAAATAATAAAAAAAAAGAGTTAAAACTCTCATCCTGACTCTTTTTGGCTGTATGAGAAAATTTCCAGCTGAACTCACATCAGCAAGTGCTATAGGATTACAAGGTATTTAATCATATGTAAATAATCAAAATATTGGAAGATAATGAATAGTCTGATCAAACGTAAAGTTTATGTGCACTTACTCCCAAAATTCCATCACTGGTGAAGTGGCATTTTGTAAAGAGACTTGACTGCAGTTGCTCATGTTAAGTTTTTGAAATTCCACACAGTTTTCTACAAAAGAACACAAAAGAGTTTGCTATATTGACATGTAAGTACATTTCTTGTTGTGCATCTTCCAGTTTATACATCTTGTGAAGCCACTATTCTGTAACACATTTTCTCTATGTGGTTAAAGGATTTCTAGGTACACTACAATGCCACAGCTGCTACTTCTGCAACACTGTATTGTGATCACCAGATCACAGGCCTAGCCCAGAAAATTATCTGTGCAGTCTGCTACACTCTCCTAGAACACTTTCCAAAGGCACCGTTGCAATGGCAAAGGCCAATAAAACATTTGAGGCAGAAGAAAGACATTTGAGAAATTGAGCCAACTGATTATAACATAATCCTACTTCAACTGCTGGTTCAATGGCCACTGTTAACATACGGCTTATGAAACACTGCCAGCTTCAAGGTTCCACTGTGCCTTACCATGGCAAGTGAAAAGTCACTCTGGCTTATGGCTGTTATCTCTAATACAGAGGAAGGAGACTGCAGCAGCTCAACACTGTTGAGTTGACACTTCGTATTTGAACAGTGATCACCATTGGCTAAGCTCCTTTGCAGGGTTGCCAAAATCGATAGCCAATCCTTCCACGTCTACCGGGCCCAAAACTAGTTCCCATAACCTAAATTGCAAGATTTCAGCTCGTTTTAGGTGTGCTCAAAGAGCATGATAATGGAAAACCAGGAAAAGACAGTACAATTGGTACATGATTTGAAACCAGAGTAATATAAGGAATAAATGCAAAAACTTCAGGAACATGGAAATAAGGGCATTGGTATGTATTCCTCCCCATAGATGTCTGTGAACTTCAAATGCAGCGAGCATTACAGACAAAAATATCAACGAGAGGACAGATGAAGAGCCCTATACTGCAAATCCTTATGAATACACACCTCATCTTTCATGTAAGAGGCTACTTTGCATGCAGTAAGAATTATTTATGTGACTAAATTTTCAGAAGTAGCTTGATGAACATTATCCCTCAACATCTGGCATTAAAAAGAGAGACTTCAAAGTTCCACATTTAATAATTTCCTCTCCATTTAAACTCCTCCTGATTTCATCAGAATGAAAAACGAAGATTGTAACCTGTCATCAGGTCATCAGCTCTTCAGTAGAATTCACTTACTGTATTCAGGGAGAATAGATATGATTGCAAATGAGAGTCTTGGGATTTAGCCAGAGTATCTTACAGAATTAACAAAATCCAAAGTCGTCTTCCGCTATCTGACATCGCATTCGGAGGGAAAAAAATGCTTATACAATAACCTAAACCAAAAAGGTATGATCAGTCTTCATTCCAGGATACCTTAATCACAGCGTAGTGTGATGTGATTAGCCCGTTTCCCCAGACTTTACTACCAGAATACTTTTGTTCCTGACATTTTAATATATTAATCAATTACTTGGAAGTACTTGTATAGCAATAATCTCTGCTAAGGTCATACCTGTATTCCATTCATGCCCACAGGTAGCCCAAGGAAGTTCTGTAGTAAAGCAGTTAAACAAATAGAAGATAGCCCATGCTAAAATGATGATGTAATATACATTTAGATGCGCCTCTATAACTTGAGTAGCATATCCAATACCTAGACACAAAAAAAAAGTGAGACACAATAGAAAACGTTTACTTTTCAGGCAATTTAAAAACAAATCCTTAATGCTTTTAGTGTATCTTAACTTGAATTTTGATATAATTTATTTTATTTTCCTTCAAATTTAATGCATTCTTTTGCAGTAGAACACAGAACTGTTTGTTACCTTCAAATAGAGGGCAAACTTTTCTCCAGCATGTAATGCCTCCTTCACTAGTAAACTGTCCCAAGGCCGTCTCCAAGAAAAATACTGGTATTCCACAGCAAATAAAAAATACCACATATGGAATGAGGAAAGCACCTATAAGCAAACATTGAGGGGGGTACTGGTTATAATGAATACAGTTCCTTGACAGCACAGCAAGAAATTAATTTTCTTAATAAAGGAAGGATTGCCTATTAGCCACTTCTCAAGCACCATGCTGAAAGTACAGATGGAGTTCGCTCCTGGCCCCAAATATCAAAAGTTAACCTGTAAGCTGGTGTCATGGACTATAGAACACCAGATCAAAGTTCCTCAGTGTAGACTAAATTCTGCTCATGTATCTCCCAAACACAGAAAAGACCAGAGTCTTGCTCAGCCACAGAGTTCTGCTCTGATCATCACCACATCAGCCTACACTATGTTGGCTTCTTTGCTTTTCTCAGGAAAGCAGGGATGAAAAAATTTTATGGAAACAAAATCCAAGCAAATACCTTAAGGTATTTGTATAAGCCTGATGATAAAGATCATGAAAAGGAAATGATGAGATAGGCTTTAGAACTACTTAAAAGAACAGCAAAGCAGGGCTTATCAGCTAGAAACATTGATGTGAAATTGTAGGAAAATAACAAAGCATCAACATTTCTGTTAGATGCCAACAGTAAAGTACATAGATAATGAGTAGTACAATACAATGCTGAAGCATTGTACAACAACAACCACCCTCTCATCAATTAACACATAGCAGATATACCGTATTATTTAGTGGTTATTAGGTATGGCACCTAAAGAATGTGGCTGTGAAGTGTGCTGAAGCAAAAAATCAGAGAAGATATATATGTTAGGTATAACGTCACTTGCTAATAATGTTGATTTTAAGCATTCCATTTAGAATCGAACCTAAATAATATGGAGTAAGATACAGCCTTTTGATTACGCAGAGAATCTGTTAACATGTAAGACAAAGAAGTTTCTTCCTCATTCCCCAAGAACTCAGACTTTCTGATGAGTCAAGGGATGAGGTGGAAAGCAAGCAGCTATATTGGTTTAGACTAACACAAGGCAAGGCGGAAATAAATATTGAGAAAGCAGCACAAAATAACGGATTCTGTCATCTTTACTTACACCAAGAAAGTTTTACTGGTTTAATTGGGCAGACGAGCACAGCAAAGTACTACACATAATAATTTATCTGAAATTGTAGAAAAATTACAAAGTGTTAACTGTCTAGTTAAGCTATGACAATAAAAGTTAGGAGAACATACATAATGTGTTGTGTCCAGGCCTCAACCTACTTGCTCCTAAACTAATAATCCCACAACACTAATTAACTTCTCTTTTAAAGCTCCCATTAAATGATGTAAGCATCCCACCACTCACTCCATTTCAAACCAACACAAGGTATGCTAAACATACAGAAGTTTCAGCAGATGCAGTTTTTCCTATAAGGTGTGTTTTAGAGTGCTGTGCATCATTGCATACATCGATCAGCTCTTTACAGCACTAGCAATAGCAGCATTTCCTTCCTTCAATGGAAGTCCTGAAGATTAATTACCTTAACAGCTACCTCTCTAATACTAAATCTCTGCCAGAATATTAAGTATGAACAAAATGTTTCTGAATTTTTCAGGAATATTTCTACAACTACAAGGCAAATAGGTATCCAATTCACAATCTTAAAAACAAACAACACACCAAAACCCAACCATCATGAGACACCCACAACCTCCAACAATTGTTACGCTTCAGTCACTTTGATCAGGAAGTTGAGCCAACTAAATACAGCTGCTTTGACTTGCAATTTCTTTCTTCAGACCCAGCACATCAGAATAGCAGTCTCTTCCCTCAACCAGAATATAGTTGCCTACAGTTGAATCTCAGCTGCATCTCAAGCAATACATGTGGATTTCCCACAGAATGAAATCCTTACCACCTAACCTAAAACGTGGTTTTTCTCTGGGCGATTTATCCTTATAGGACAGGCAAACTGCTAGCCAGTATCAACCCAGCTTGGGCCACTCATACACACGATCATAGCAAGTTTAACATGGCAACTTGTTGAAATCAAAAGTATTAGCTTCGACTCTATTTTTCCAACGCTGTTCTACAACAGGTACACATCATGAAAATTAGAGGTCATCACATTTCCCAGCCTGCAAACAGATCGTATTCCAAGAAATATCTAATTGTAAACATGCAAAGAAATCAATAGAGAAGCTTCTGCCTACACTACCTGTTATGACTCGAAGTGAGTACCAGAGAGAGGTCAAACCTCAGGAGTTCCATACGACTGCTTCTAGATCCATGCTCTCTCTAGCAAGTTATGTGATAACTAGCTCATATATCTTACCATCGTCTTCACTTATCACACACTAAGTAGTTTTCAGTATTTGCATTTGATGCATCAAACAAGTCCAACTCTGGTCTAAATCCAGCAGGGCATTCCAGAGAGTTACAAAAACACAGGTCATAGACCAAGTCCTCATTGAATAACGCTGAAGTCAATGGCAAATTTCCCATGGTGCCAGGACATGACCAGTTAAACTACACACATTAGTTCTAATCTTAAAGAACACAACGGTGATCAAGTATGATATTTAACTAATTACTTTTTCACCAAATCACCCAAAAACATGGTTAGAATTTTTTCTACCGAATGTTATACCCTTTAAAATGATTACATCAGGTTTTGACAAGCTAGCATACACATACAAATGGGTATAAAAAGGTCACTGTGTGAACAAGGAGATCTACATTATATATAATAAAACCTAATAAAAATCTGTATTTTTCTCTACCAAAATTTCTCAGTGAAAACTTTTGATAACCTACAAAAACCTGTTCTCTATATCATACCCAGCATATTCATATTTGTATACTAACAGCAGTACTTTGCAGCACCATTCAGAAAACAGATGACTTCTCGTTCTTTTAGTTTTGCCAAAGTATAGATACATAAAGAAAGGAGCTGCAAACCATAAACACTTCTTCCACAGTAGCATTAGCTACATAAAAAGCAGACAAAATGGGCCAACCAGAGAAGATATATATATGTTAGGTATAACGTCACTTGCTAATAATGTTGATTTTAAGCATTCCATTTAGAATCGAACCTAAATAATATGGAGTAAGATACAGCCTTTTGATTACGCAGAGAATCTGTTAACATGTAAGACAAAGAAGTTTCTTCCTCATTCCCCAAGAACTCAGACTTTCTGATGAGTCAAAGGATGAGGTGGAAAGCAAGCAGCTATATTGGTTTAGACTAACACAAGGCAAGAAGGAAATAAATACTGAGAAAGCAGCACAAAATAACGGATTCTGTCATCTTTACTTACACCAAGAAAGTTTTACTGGTTTAATTGGGCAGACTAGCACAGCAAAGTACTACACATAATAATTTATCTGAAATTGTAGAAAAATTACAAAGTGTTAACTGTCTAGTTAAGCTATGACAATAAAAGTTAGGAGAACATACATAATGTGTTGTGTCCAGGCCTCAAACTACTTGCTCCTAAACTAATAATCCCACAACACTAATTAACTTCTCTTTTAAAGCTCCCATTAAATGATGTAAGCATCCCATCACTCCATTTCAAACCAACACAAGGTATGCTAAACATACAGAAGTTTCGGCAGATGCAGTTTTTCCTATAAGGTGTGTTTTAGAGTGCTGTGCATCATTGCATACATCGATCAGCTCTTTACAGCACTAGCAATAGCAGCATTTCCTTCCTTCAATGGAAGTCCTGAAGATTAATTACCTTAACAGCTACCTCTCTAATACTAAATCTCTGCCAGAATATTAAGTATGAACAAAATGTTTCTCAATTTTTCAGGAATATTTCTACAACTACAAGGCAAATAGGTATCCAATTCACAATCTTAAAAACAAACAACACACCAAAACCCAACCATCATGAGACACCCACAACCTCCAACAATTGTTATGCTTCAGTCACTTTGATCAGGAAGTTGAGCCAACTAAATACAGCTGCTTTGACTTGCAATTTCTTTCTTCAGACCCAGCACATCAGAATAGCAGTCTCTTCCCTCAACCAGAATATAGTTGCCTACAGTTGAATCTCAGCTGCATCTCAAGCAATACATGTGGATTTCCCACAGAATGAAATCCTTACCACCTAACCTAAAACGTGGTTTTTCTCTGGGTGATGTATCCTTATAGGACAGGCAAACTGCTAGCCAGTATCAACCCAGCTTGGGCCACTCATACACACGATCATAGCAAGTTTAACATGGCAACTTGTTGAAATCAAAAGTATTAGCTTCGACTCTATTTTTCCAACGCTGTTCTACAACAGGTACACATCATGAAAATTAGAGGTCATCACATTTCCCAGCCTGCAAACAGATCGTATTCCAAGAAATATCTAATTGTAAACATGCAAAGAAATCAATAGAGAAGCTTCTGCCTACACTACCTGTTATGACTCGAAGTGAGTACCAGAGAGAGGTCAAACCTCAGGAGTTCCATACGACTGCTTCTAGATCCATGCTCTCTCTAGCCAGTTATGTGATAACTAGCTCATATATCTTACCATCGTCTTCACTTATCACACACTAAGTAGTTTTCAGTATTTGCATTTGATGCATCAAACAAGTCCAACTCTGGTCTAAATCCAGCAGGGCATTCCAGAGAGTTACAAAAACACAGGTCATAGACCAAGTCCTCATTGAATAACGCTGAAGTCAATGGCAAATTTCCCATGGTGCCAGGACATGACCAGTTAAACTACACACATTAATTCTAATCTTAAAGAACACAACGGTGATCAAGTATGATATTTAACTAATTACTTTTTCACCAAATCACCCAAAAACATGGTTAGAATTTTTTCTACCGAATGTTATACCCTTTAAAATGATTACATCAGGTTTTGACAAGCTAGCATACACATACAAATGGGTATAAAAAGGTCACTGTGTGAACAAGGAGATCTACATTATATATAATAAAACCTAATAAAAATCTGTATTTTTCTCTACCAAAATTTCTCAGTGAAAACTTTTGATAACCTACAAAAAACTGTTCTCTATATCATACCCAGCATATTCATATTTGTATACTAACAGCAGTACTTTGCAGCACCATTCAGAAAACAGATGACTTCTCGTTCTTTTAGTTTTGCCAAAGTATAGATACATAAAGAAAGGAGCTGCAAACCATAAACACTTCTTCCACAGTAGCATTAGCTACATAAAAAGCAGACAAAATGGGCCAAAACCATCCCTGTGTTCAGACAATTGTGCTTAGTTTTGGAGGGACAATGTTGTTAGCAAATAAACCTGTTAAACAATCTTTGCACGTCAGTCACTGAAGATGACTTTTCTCCCAGCCTATATGCTTACACTGATTCAGACCTTAAGTGGGGAGAACACTGAATCCAGTCCACAGAACTCTAAACTAATTTTTCTATTTACTTTTATTTCCTCATTGCTTCACAAGTCACAGCTGACATGCTTATTCTTAACTGTTGCAAATCTTACATAGTTTATACTGAACTATAACCAATACATGCCACATGTTATAACTTTGTAGAACTTAAGGCTGCTCTTTTCTTTCCCAAGTAGCTTTCTTACTCTAAATTGTATAGGGTTTGCCCTCTTCTTTCAGTAACAGGCAGCTTTTACATCTTCCCCTACCCTACTGTAGTGATTCGGAAAGCAATGAGTTATATATAAATATGGCTGAGTTAAAGAAATTATTGTATGACAAAAAAAAGTAATCTTCGTAGGACTATCACAAACAATATTCATCCTCTCCAAAGTATACTGTTGCGAAAAATAAACTGCTACATTATTTTCTATGTCAGACAAACTTACTTAAGTATGTTTATGTCTGTATTCACATGCAGAAGAATATACACAGCATACAACTATAACAGAACAGTGGCTTCTTCCACATTAAAAATCTTACAGGAAAAATATGTCCATTTACTAACACAAAAGAAACTTGTGAAAGTAAGCTACACAATGTTTGGGGCGGAAAAGCAAAGAAAAACAGCGATTTTTTTCTTAGCTGTCAGATATTTGATACTTCCCTATCCACACATACATTGAAACCCTGAATACCTATCTCTGTTACTCTGAGCAAGAAATCACTGTAAAGCATTCTTAACTGTTTATTCCCCACGCTTATGGTGAGCTGTAAATCAACATATGATGCCATCTTACCTCCTCCATTCTTGTAGCAAAGATATGGGAATCTCCATACATTTCCCAACCCAATAATCTCCCCTGCCACAGAAAGCACAAATTCAACCTTATTGTTCCAGTGACCTCTTTCATGAACTTTCTTATCATTTCTGTGGACGAGGTTGGTACTTGAGGCTTCTGGGTCCAAAGCATCTTCTGGTTTGCCATTAATTATAGGAATAGTCTTTTCAGCTGTCATGACTGTTCAGCCTAGGGGAGAACAAAAGAAAAACACACAGATGTTTTAAGACACTTGTTAGTAATAAGCTGCAATGACTAAAGTCATCCCCTCAGCATATCATTGACTTCTTATTACCTACATAAAGCGGTAGGTGAAAGTGAATGAGGCAACTCTGTAAGGGTGGAAAAGTTATAAAGAATGAAAAAAAGAAAAAGGAAGAGGGGGTGAGGCGGGGGGAAAGAAGCTCATGTACAAAGGAAGGAGATGATTTCCAAGTTGAGACAGACAACTTAGTAGCATGACATTGTTTCAAAGCACAGATAGTGAAGCCTTTCAAAAATCCCTCCCCAAGCAAGGATCCCAGCTTGACTAACCTACCACAGGACAGAGATCTCCTGCACCTTCCGGCCACATAATTGAGAACAGAAGAAGAAAAGGATGTGGCAAAGGGGCCCTGGATGGTTCTGGCCTGCCTGGAGGAATAAGGGAGCTCCCAGACTACTCACCCAGGGCTCTGCCTGTGCCTGCGAGGCTAGGAGAGGGACAGGGTCTCTAGCTCAGGGCTCGGCTCCGAGTGGACCTCCGCGGGCTGCCGCTCTTCGCTCTGTTGCACGGGAGGCACGGGGCAGGGCAGCGGGCAGGGGGAGGCGGGGATAACGCGGGCAGCCTTAGGATAACGAGGAGCCGGGAAGCCTCGTCCCGTTCTGCGGCTGCTGCCCGGCCGGCCGGCGGGGATAGGATGCTCCCCGCGCCCTGGAGCCGGAATTTGCAAATGCTCAGCCTTCCCAGGAGCGATGGTATAACACCCGCCTCCCCCCTCCGCCCACCTCAGGCTGTCCCGCCAGCTCCCCCCTCCTCCT